CATCATGTCAGCATACTCTTCTACTCTTTACAGCGTTTCTCTCGCGGGGCCAACCTTGTTTGGGCCAGTGATCAGCAAAGCTGCAGAAATTGCCAGCCATTCTGTGCAATATGGAAACAACAAATATTTTGTCCTGCTCATTATCACGGTATGTAACCATATATATCCAACAGGAATCTGTCATGTGACCTCTGTTCAAAAATTTTACCTGAGCATTGTATGCAGGATGGAGTTATCACTGACCAGCAAGAAACAAAAGATTCTATTGTAAGGGCATCAGATTTGCCGTTGTCGATTCTCATCGTGGGAGTAGGGAATGCTGATTTCACTCAAATGAGGGTAAATCATTTACTGAATATGTGATAAATATTTCATCCCCTGAACATTTTTCTTGCCATCTCGGTCTTGAATGAGCTGCATGCTGTCATGCCTTGGCATCTGGCTATTTCTTAGTAGCTTTAGTTTTGGCCCGGCAGTTTGTCGCTGCACTTGTTAATTGCATCTGTAGTGCCATGCGTCCAACGAAGCCGCAGGCATGCACTTGCACCTACCAGAAAGTTTGCTCTAGTTATCACATGCAGTTTGCCTGATAAACAAAGGCCGCCGGGACCGGAACATGCTGCTCTGTGATCTTTATTTTTGTCACCGCAACACGAAGTAGCAGTAACATCTTATCTGGCAATTTTCTTTGGCTTTGTCAGATCCTGGATGCGGACTTCGGTAAGCGGCTTGAAAGCTCAACAGGCAGGGTTGCAACGCGTGACATAGTCCAGTTCGTCCCCATGAGGGAAGTCCAAGGTCAGCATCGGTTTCGCATTCTGTCACCATCAACTTACTCCAGCTCTTTGCACATAGTACCACCGCTGAAAACAAGAGTGACCGATCGACGACGATTTTTATCAGCAGGTGGGCAGGTCACCGTTGTCCAGAGCCTGCTGGAGGAGCTGCCTGGGCAGTTCCTGGAGTACATGCGCACCCGGGACATCAAGCCGCGACCGCCCCAGCATGCCTCGGCGCCGCCAGCCTACCCCCCTCCTCCCCAGCTGTGAAGGAACCCCGCCGGGCCCGCCACCCCACACAAGCTGGTCTGCGCGTATGTACCAGCTGGCAATTGTATAGATTCTGCCGTCTATCTGTCTGACTAACTCCCGTCGCTTCTGCTCTCCACATCCTACGTTAGGTACTGAACCCCGTAGATAACTTTTCCGCCCAGGTTTAGAACGTCGCTGCAAACACTACGTATGAAAATTGAAAAATGAGATAGCTCCTAGTGATTTTTCTCGCTGAACTGCTGCTATGTTGGCCACTTTGTCACCGACAAGGAGTTATCTCCTAGGCGACCCATCTTGTTATTGTGTACATTTGCTTAAGGTTTTGCTTATCGTTGTTATCATCTATGGTATGCAATTCATGGGTCGGCAATCAATGGTCGCCTGTTGGCTGTTGCTGTAGAAGATGAAGGAAAAAAATTCCAGGAGGCTTAGTATCACATTTGTTAAGCAGAGACATGTATAATGTATCCAAGACTCGTTTCTTTTGTCTGATGATATTCTATCTTTTCCTTGGTGGAACAAGAAATCATTTTATTCAATGAAATTCCTCTTGGTCTCAGGGAGAGATATAAGGCCGGTTTTACTTTTTCTCCTAAAATACCATTTGTCCATGAAATCTTGCATGCTCGTAGCACGCTCGATCAATTCTGGAGTCAATAATCCTTTCTTAAGGTTAGTACTGTCATCTATGTCATGCAATTTTTTCAATGGGTTGGCATTGGGTATCCAGTAGTCGCATGTGGCTGGAGACAATGAAGGAGTGAAATTTGTCTGACTGCGAATAAATTTGTCGACTTAACTCAACATTTAAAAAACCTCTCTCCTTTCCTTAGTGATGAAACAAAAACCAATTTTATGCAACAAAGCTCTTGGTTTCTGGTAGGGCCGGGCGGAGATGATAACGCGGGAAATGAGCCGTGCCGTCGTATCCTAACGTGGGCGGAGGTCCAACGATCTCGCTATTTCTCTAAGACAACAAAAGAGCACACAACTGCGATAAAAGTGATTGCTTCCGAGAAAGAAAAAAAACAGAGTGGGCTAATTAATCATAGTATAATTAATTAAGCGGGTGCTGCAGAACGGAATGTGGCAGCATCAAATCGGTGGTGGTGGTGGTTATGAGTTGACCGTGCCTGCTATGGCTAGCACTAGTTGCTGGCCAACCGGCATGGCATGGCATGCGGCATGTGGCCGCACTGGACGCCAGCCTAGCGCTGGCGGGCACATGCTGGTACTCCGCAGTCCGGAACAATTACCGGTGAGCCCGCGAGGCGCCAGCCGATCCATGCCCGCCCGCCGCCCTGTCTTTGTCCCGCCGCGCCCGCCGCGCCCGCCGGAGTAGTATATCTCTCTCTCTCTCCCCCTCCCCCTTCCTTCGTTTGGCC